CCCCTCCCGTTGATAATTCTCGATCGTTGGCACGCTGATAAAAAATTTTTTAAATGGCACTTCATATCAAAAAGGTTGCCGACCCCTGGGTTAGGGTAATTGCATAATAAGGCGCAAGTTTCTCTGTGACACAATATGTCAACGCATATGCACATTTGGTCACTGGTGATGGATTGCCATAGAACTTCGATTCACAGTCATCAATGAGCAAATGTGCTTATTTTAAATGATTACTGGTCTACATTGTTTCCCTTATTTGTATTTATATAATATTGATATTTTGTACGAATTAATTTTGTTCCTATATTTTTGCATATCACTGTCCTGTAGTTAGCATGGACCATGCTTGACATGTTAGCTGTTTGGTGTATATGTATTTGCCCATAGCTAAAAACCAATGTTAAATCAACACATGCAGTTTGAACTTCCTGAAGAGTGTGTAGTGCAGTTGCTCTGACCTCCAACAATAAAGAGGAAACCTCCAAGCAGAGCCACGCCATGCTGGTACCGTGGGACCTCCATGGGCTTCAGGGCCCTCCAAATGCCGCTCTTCTCGTCATACAGCCTCAGCTCCCGGCTCACCACCAGCTGTTGTCGCATCACACCTCCGAGTGCCAGGATGTGTGTGTCGTCTGAACGTATCTGAGTCCGCTCGGTCTGCAGGGCTGGTTGCATGAAAGGCATCATCTGGTAGTTGCTGGCCTCCAGCAGCAGGTTCACACAGGCCGTGTCCGAGCGCATCATGGACTCTGCTCCTTCTTCATCGTCCTGGGAGATCTGAATCAGATCGCTGGGGCTCATCAGTGGGAAGCGAATGTGGCGCATCAAGCCGTAGACAGAGGAGCGGCGGTTGGGGTAGTCATACTCCAACCATCCTTTGGCGATGTGGTAAAGCTCCAACTCAGAGAAACCCTGCAGGGAGTTTTTGGACAGAGCGTTGGCCATGCTGGTTTCAGATAGCTGGAGGTAGCGGCCGCACTCTACCAACGCTGAGAGGTTCTGTCGCACAAATTCACCTGGGTTTGATACAACAAAGAAAAGTTATTTATTATGTTATCAAACCAGAATGATGTGTAATCTTAAAGATAAGATAGGATAAGATTTTTATACATCCCTGTTGGGAAGTTCAGCATCAAAAAGAGTGAAGCACAGGGTAGGATAGTTCCCATCACACAAGGATTGTAGGTGCCATAATGCTACTTAGCCCAAGTTCATTATTTGTATTATTATTATTTGTTTAAGTCACTTTTATTTGTTTGTTGAGCACTTCCGGTAATTGTCACATGGGTGTGGTTTGTCTATTTAAGTCACCTGTTTCATGTCGAGGGGGCATGTTGACCGTTTTGTCCATAGTTACTATGTTATGATTTTGTTTATTAAATATCCCAAAAACTATCTTGCTTCACTATGGACTTTCTCTTCGAAAACGCGTCACAGTTTATAGCCAAGTTTAGCCTCTCGGCGACTCAAACGTAACTGGGGATTGAGCCGTCACAAGGATAATAGGAATGCAAAATTAAAGTCAAATACACATAATCAAAATATGAACTTGATTATGCCATTCTAAAGAAGATAAGTAGATACAAACAATGGAGTGGTTTTAGTGATTGCTGACTTTGTGTAGCTGAATGCTGATCATACCTTCCACCTGATCTATGTATTATGACAGATTTAAGAAAGATTATACATTAAGATTCGATTCATTTCATGAAAACTCACCTATATTCAGCTGGAGGTCCTTCAGAAGCAGGTCTGTGGCGATGCGCTCCACCTCCCCACAGTTATCAATAGTGATCTGCATCGAATGACAACACAAGAGGGAAATAAAGTTAAACAAATTGTTGAAAAATTACAACTTTTCACTGCGTAACGTAAGACATGTCATCAATACTTTGCCTAGTTTGCAGCTGCAACTATTTATAATCAATCCCAAGTGGGCCCCCATGAAGATATGTAATTCTGCACTGATTAATTACAAAGAAAAGCAATGAATAAAACAATGAAAAGTCATGGAGCTGCAACTATTAACAATTACATTCACAGGTCACTCATATTTATCTTTTATTCTGCACTGTTTAATTGCCACCAAGAGAGAGGGCATTAGGGGACAGCGGAGCACTTGGAGCGATCTTGCAGTTTTAATGACCTGAATTTATGCATCATCATCATCATCATCATAATTTCTCTCACCTCGCTGCTCAGTAGCTGATTACAGAAGCTCAGGACGGGCATGACCTGCAAGAAGTTTGCCGCCTCCAGCGTCTCCTGGAGATTAACCATGTCGAGGTTGACGGTGGATGTGTAAATGAAGTCTATAATGTTCTTTAAGCCCAACTTAGTGACTCCATGCAGCTTGATCTCTCTCATCTCCTGCTCCCTCATGCCTCCTGAAGGACAGAACAAGTACAAAAAGGTGAATGCAGTATTTTAAAAGATTTGTGCACAGTCATGAAGATACAGAGACAGACACTGTAAAGCCTGGCTGCTCATTATCCCCCCCTGTATGATGTCAGACAAATACAGAAGTATAGCTGTTAAAAAGGTTGTAAACAAATGTCTTCCTATCCTCTGCCATGCTGCAACTGAAATGCAGAAGTGAGTCAAGTTCTTCCTCTTTTCAAAGTTCAAGGTCCAATGTTCTATATTGTCAAACTAACATAGCTAGAGAGTAATTATGTTGTTGAAAATCTTAGGTCACAGGCTTCTCCAACAATGCAACACAATAATACAGACAATTTTAAATTATTTTACTATAGCCTACTATTTTCTTTTACTATTTGTGAATGTTATTCTAGAAGTGTAAGTATGAGTAGTGGCACCTGGAATAAATAACATGTTTGGCATTTTATATTACCCTTCTAAACCACAACATCAACATTTACCATAGGGAAGAATCCTGTATGTATTCATGAATATTTTGCATATCTAGTAATGTGACAGCACAGACTAACGTTAGTGAAAGTATGTTAGCTAACAAACTTAGTCCGAGATGGCTACATAACATAGGATTAACCCTTTTTAGTATGTGAGTACAATGGCTTTTGTGTTTGTTGATAATTAGCTAATGTTAGCATGTTATTAAACTATATATATATATATACCTGCCAAATATCATAGTGTTAGCATAGTAATCAGGAGCATGTTTTGTTTGCTATCGTTAGCATTTAGCACAAAGTACACCTTTCAGGATATCGGGTAGCCACGTGATAAAAGTGCATGTCATTCCCCAACTCTATTACCCCCACTTTCCTGTCTCTCTCCACTATATCTATTATAAAGTCACAAAATGACCCTAAAATCATATTTATTTAAAAAATGAGATAGGCCAACAGCCCCACAGAGCTTGCTAGCATGTTGCTTGGCTATTAGCCTTATTTGGACTGAGGTTTGTCTTGAATTCATGTATTTCTAATGGTTTATCCACCCAAATATTCCATGTAGCGTTACTCTAAATGGAAATGTATTGTCCCTTATTGTACTTCACCCTGTCTTTGACTCGAAAGCCCGAGTTTCCTACGTTGTCTGCTTTCAGCCTGATAAACCTGGACATCTCACCTGTAAACATCGCCTTGAAATAGTCACTGGATGAAGCCATGATGACTCTGTGCACGGGGAACGTGTCTGTGCTGTCTCCAGGGACCAAGACGACATCACAGAGTGTCTCATCAGCCCGAAAAGCATCAAAGCCCTGCAGGAAATCACAATATTTGACATAATTAACTGCAGTTTCACATCGAATGACATTTATTTTGAGAAACATTTGATTATTGTTCAGTTAAATGTGGTACCAAAAACATAATTATATGCAAAAGTAGTATGAATGCTTGTTGTTTGTATGCTGTCTTCTCCTGAATGTTGTACGTCTCTTGTTTGTTTGTTTTTGTATTTTTGTACAAAAACCTCGAGTACCTCTACTCATCTCATTGTACCCATATAATGACAATAAGGATTATATTCTAAAAAGCTACAGGAAGTAAATGCAATGTTCTTTTAGGTGCCAGTGTGCAACTCCCACATAAGATGAGAATTAAATGACGACTAGCTTTCTCCAGTAAGTGTGTCCCAAAAGGAATGTTTGTGTTTAAGAGACAAACCTGCAACACAGCAGATCCGTGCTCATTGCTGCTGAACACCTTGGACAGCGGTCTGGGGGGAAGTTTGGGCTTTGTGGCTTTATCTGGACGTTTAGGTGGTGTTGCAACAGGTGTAGGTAGAGGAGCAGGAGCTGGTTCAGGGTCTGGTGGAGGAGGTGGCCTGTCATCTATTGGACACAAATGGAGAACAGATACCTCGAAGGTGAGAAAAGTCATGACACTTCAGCTAGAGGTGTATGGACCTGCTAAGATGGTGATGGTGAGAACTAATGGAGATGAAGTATAGCAGTATTAGCAATAAGATGCATGTCAAGTATCAAAAGTAAAAGTTCTTATCATGCAGAGAGACCTCTTAAATGTGATAACATAATATTTAGATGTAGTTAGTTGAGCTTTAAGGATGATTTCCTATTCATGTTTATCTATAATAATGCAGCATTTAGATTAAATTAGATACTTAAGTATGTATATGCCTTGTCATACGTATTTCATATTTTATAATCTAATCATAGGATTTAAAATCATAATCTGAAAAGTAACTGCAAACTAAGCTGTTAGATAAAGTTTTAATGTAGAAAGTAATTTCCTCTCAAATGTAGTGGTTTCTCAAATTGTACTTAAGGGGCTTGAGTTAATGTACCTGCTTTGTTTGGTCTGTTTGCATTGGATGATCACTTTGAATGTAAAGTGTATTTCCTCCCTGACATCATATGGGCTCAGTATTTACAGTAATAGTAATAATTAAAGGACACACACACACACACACACACCTTGCTGAGCAGGAAGTCTCTCCGGCTGAACTGGAGGTCTCGGAGGGTCCCGGGACTGATGTCTGCTCAGACGAGAGAATGTACGGCTCAGCCTCGACGAACCGCTGTCATCTCCACTTCCCCTGGAGGAGNTATTTGAAAGACTTAGAGAAGATGGTGTCTCCCTGTGTACAACTACATATTTTTTCTATACTATTTTTCACCTAAAACGCAAATATTAAAATGTAAATGTAAATGCTAATATAGTATGCAGAAATACAGACCACGTACAACAAAACTTATATTTGACCGTACTTTGCAGGGTTGGAGGTCTTACTAAACCAGGGGTCTTCGGTCGGGCAGCCCCTGGGACGTCCTGACAGGAGTAGGTCCGAAGATACATTTGCGGGACAAGCCAAGGGGAGGCGTCTCACACCGTGGGGGTGGAGGTGGGGCGGCCGGCGGCGTTGGCAGTGGTTGGGCACGAGTGGCGGGAGGACGACGGAGTCTGCGTAAAGACGCCCTGTGTGTTCGTCAGCAATCTCTCAATAACCTCACATCCTCGACAAATCGTTACCTCGATTAGTAAAGGAAGTGTTAGTTGGAAAGGTTTATACCACACAAACAACAGGAAGTGAGAATAATTACAAACAAGTCCCACAATTGGACTACTTTTTACACCTGACATAACCCACCACCGACGAACCTCCTTCTCACTCGCAACGGGAAGCAGGGACAAGCGACTCAGCACAGCATACCACCTCACTAACCAGCCCCCCACCGCGGGCGGAGGGGACCCCCAGCTGGACTCTCGACTGACCCGCGGTCCTCGCTCCCGCCGGGCCCCTCACCTTATCTTTCTCTCTCTTTTCAACACGGAAGTTAGTTTATTTTACCTGTACAACGGTTTTTGGAACACAATTAACTTGAAGGGTCATTTCCATTACAGTGAATCAATTGCTACCGAAACGCGGTTGGGTCTTCTAGTGCCTTTTCCAAGTACAAAAATAGCGCCCGGTTTTAAAGATCGATTTGTATGAAAGTGCGGATTTGAATTTAAAGATATTATTCTTAACATTCAACAAACTACTATAATGTAAACGAAAAATGATACCAAATTATACCTATAATATGGAAGTCATATCATGAGGGGTACAAGTCTAGTACTACTTACGTGAGTAAACACGGTAGTAACACTTATAAATTTCAATACTTGTCAATTATCAATTAAATGTAGAGATTAATAAGCACGTACTACACCCACCTTGGTTATCACGCACCCAGTCTCCTTAAGCGAGACATACAAGCTACGATCGTCTTTTCTTCTTCACAACTTTTACCCACTCAGTAGAACGAAGACGAACGATTTTTTTTTTTTCCGGCCACTGTAGCCTTACGTAATTTTCTCGTGGACCCGTATTTATTTGCCCAACATGCCTTATAACCTTGTAGACTACAGTAACACGACTTTTTGAGTTTGTAGTGATTTGACCATACTACAGTCCCTTTCGATCGGGGCCGTCGTGTGTGGAGGCCAGCGATTGGGATGCTCCTTATACTTGTCCTCCTTAAGATGTCTTTCGTCTTGTAGCGACAATGGACGCTGCGAGCACGCTCGCCCACCAGGGTCGACCCATGTACACCGCCCAGCCATGACCGGCTAGACCTACTACCACCAGGCTCGTCGCACGCGACCCGCTCTACCTGGCGCCGGGACCGCCACGAGCACATCGCCCTGCGTCCAACTAGGGATAAATATGGACCTGTTTCTGTCTTTTCACACCAGCTCCGCCTCTTGCAAACCTCGGCGTACGGCCCGGCAACTTCACAACTATGTGTCATACGAACGTGTCAGATAATTCCCAAAATCAGAAATCAAATCATGAAGCCCACCGGCGTTCAACTATGAGTTCTCTTAAACTTTCCCGTAAATCGACCTCTCGTAATGTCTCAGCCTTTCTCAAGTACAAGCCTTTGTCCCGGCGCGTAATAAAACCCACAATTGTGATAACCGGAGTCATTGTAGCCCATGCACTAATGAACGGGTTAGCATTGTCACGTCTTATTGGCACGCACATCACATACGTGTCGCTTGTACATCAATATAGTATGTCTATTTTCCGCCCTAAAGTAGGACACATCCGGTGGTCGACTCAAACTATTAGCTGAAACTCCGTACATTCGATACTCTTACGTCCTTTTTAACGGCTTGAGAAATTCACCGAGGCCTAAATTACAGACTCATTTTCCTGCCTCTCACCAAATTTTTGTTCAATCAACTTAACCTATTGCGTGCCTTTCAGCAAACTGGTTGCCTTACCATAACCCTACTGTTCAACAAATATTTTATTAACTCAAAAACCTCTATTTCTTTTTTTCAACCGGTCTGAAAATGAGCTGATCAGATTTTGGCCACTTTATGATGTCATAACGATGTGTTGTCTTGTGTAACCATTAGCCAATCAGCAACCAAGGTAACCCCCCCCCACCTTATCACCTGAATCTCCTCCTAGAGCACCATTGTGTTCTTTTTAACCAAATCTCTCTCAGAGGGGCGTGGGGAGGGGCTCCTTATTTTCATCTAAAGTAACAGACAGAGAATAAGCACTTTGGAAACAGGGCTGAAACAGAGGGGATTATGGGATGCTGCAATGATCTGTTTGGTGTTTGGAGCCAAACACTTCAGAGACATGTTCTGTATATATCTGAGACTTATAATAAAGTAACGAAAAACAGTAACATAGGGGACCTTTAAGTTGCTTGTTATTACATGTTCTTGCCGTTACATATTTAAGAGTATGTGGAATATTTTAATAAAACAGTTACCTGGAACACTCCATCAAAGTTCTTGACCTTGAGGTGTGGCGGCAGCTTGAACTGGTTGCGGATGTCGTTGCGGCGCTTCCCGGTGTAGGGGACGTCGACGGTGAGGACCAGGGCCTTGTAGCCAAGCCCCTCCACACGGTGCACAATCTGCTCAGACAGCTTCCGGTCCCGGTACACGTACAGCTGGAACCAGCGGTAACCGTTTGGTGCCGCTGCCACAATCTCCTCCACTGAGCAGGTGGAGTAAGTGCTGGTGATGTAGCAGGTGTTCAGAGCCTCTGTGCCTGTGAGACGGAAGTAGAGAAGTTATTAATGTGGTCAGCGAGGAGTGAATGCATCAGCTTGGTCCCCTAAAAATGTGCTTCCCAGACAATGTAAAGAAGTTGTCAATTGTCCAGTTTCCAGTGTTTTACATATTACAGAATGTTTCTAGTCAGCGCAGGAAGAATTTGGGTTGGATTGAAGGGTCAAACAAACACCCGAAAAGCACTCTGCTGTTTGTGTCCCATGTAAAACCAAAAGTCATTATAACTCATTTTAATTTACATCAGTAACTTAAACAATGTAATCAATGTACTTATTCTAAAACAAACCTAAAAAACGTAAAATCAATTTTCCTTATTATTCTTACAGACAAAAGAACAACCCAGTCTTTTCTTTACAACACAAGATTCATACAACGTTATTCTCCCATCTAGTGGTGGCAATCGTACCAACATTGTTAAAAACCTGTGTCTCCAAAATTCGAACTTTTCAGTAACTTAAAAAACATATTATGTGTTATGAAAAAGATCTCACAACCCCTACAAACAAGCTCCATAAGAAAACGGGTTTTTAAAAAGGTTTTGTACCTCTTGCTGTGGCCACCTCTCCTTCATGCCAGGCCAGGCAGTGGAAGGCAGTCGGTGCGATACCAACAGGGAAGCTGATCTCTGTTCCCTGCACTGTGGTCCGCGTGTCGCTCATCGACACATCCCGCAGGATACGAGGCCTCAGACGGATCCTGAGGGAGTGTGAGAAACAGATGAACATGTGGACAATAACACCAAATGTAACAATAACGGGTAGTCCTCTTCCTCTTATTTATATTTATTCATAGTTGCTAGTAGAAGCTTTACGTTAAATTGTATTGTTAAAAAATAGTTGTGACCCAGATTCATGGGAGGATGTCAAGTTTCCATGGAACCAAACCAACCTGTTGACAAAGCATTGCAACATCGTATACTATCCGGTATTGTCAAATACAGTTATCCTTGAGATGACCACATGCTGCTTTTGACAATTCATATTTATTTTCTGGGATTCTGTTTTCCCAAAGCTATGGCTTGAGAAAATGTTTCCAAGACAAGGTCCAACCTTTATTCCTGCAGAGGAAAATGTTTAACCTGACCCCGAATGCACCTGCAAACAAATATGTACAGATCTATCACAGTGAGGACAAGCAGTACTTTCTGTCTTTACGGAGACATTAGGAAAGCTGAAGGGAATTCACAAAAAGAAAAGAAAAAAGATGGTCAATGGTTTCAAAACATTTATAAACCACAGGGAGTTGACTTGGCATCAATACTCAGCAAATGTAACTGCCTGTTAGTTATTACAAGGCACACATTTACACATACTTTAATATCTAATTAGAAATGAGTCAGTCTAAAGTCCACAAAACCTTTCCTTGTGTTACAAGCTTTATCCCTAATGTGATCTCCACTTTTGGTATAAGAACTTTCCTAACATCAATTATTTCAATCCCCAATGATGAATTTAGGACAGGTGAGCTAGCACCGCATACATGTATATGGTGACCTTGAATGTCTGGGTAGACTTCATTGTTCCCACTGTACCTTTTGAAAGCCAGGATATTGTCGTCCCTGGTGCAGCACTCATCCGCTCCAGCTGCATAATAATCCCAGGTGGCCTTTGAGAGATGCTCCTTAGCATACTCCTCGAAGTCTGTCAGGCATACCATTGCCATTTCTGCACATTGGCCTCCCTCTCTGAGTGGAAACAGACACCATCAATTAGAAATTGGGGGATTCAGGCATAAACAATACAACATATGTCAAGATAAGTCAATAAAACATAAGCATGTGGCATTCAAAATATCACTTTATTCAATTTCAAACACGGCTAGCTTTGTTAAGCATCATTGGTCTTTTTTTCCCAGTCACTTCTCATATTTTGAACCATGCAGTGTCATCTGGAAACTGGATATATGTTTTAAATGTGAGACAAAAAGCTGCAGGGTACAACAGCAAACGGAGACATTTTGTTCACAATAAAACACTCTAAATGCAATAACTTTCCGTAGCAAGACTTAACA